GGGAAGTATCCCACACTGTGCTGACAGGATCTGGATGATATGTTCCCAGTAAGCAGATGGCTCTATGCAATACAGAACAGAGAGAGGCAGAAACCACTAATTGAATAGTATTTTTCTCAATGTAGTATAAAAAAGGATAAAAAATTCTTACTTTGCAAATGGTGGGTATGCCAGCAAAATCATACTCACATACAAGCTTGTGTAAACAGAATAAAATGGCTTGCACCACTCAGAACAGTCACTTCCGGGTTTCGCCAGTCCCGATCACGTGATCTCTGCAGGTTCCGCCTATCCTGTGACATTACACGTGACGCGTTTCGCTTGGCTTTCTGGGCTTCTTCTGATGAAATTGTGGATCCATAGCCCCTTCCTTTAAGTCCTTGGTGCCTCCCTGGTCCCTGGGTTTTTGCAGTCACTTGAGGGTTTTGAGGGCCTTCTAAGAAATGTGGTTGCAGCTATTGATAGCTTACAATTTTTTCCCTGTCCAGGTAGTGTAACCACTGTTCCTTCAACTTTGAACTTGCAAACTAGGCTTCTAACAGTGTCTCTAGACAACTTCAGTGCCTTCACTATCTTTTTGTACCCTGTTCTTTGTTTGTAAAGGGCGATGATTTCTTCTATTAACCTTGTGGACCATTCTTTTGACTTAGCCATGCAGTCAAACATGACACTCAACAAACTCCAAGCTAGTTCAGGTATTTCAAGTGTTCCAGCTCAAGCACACCTGGTGCGACTAATGAAGCCCTTGATGAGTTGCATCAGGTGTGATTGAGACAGCACCTGTTTTGCATATTTGTGCTGTTGTGAGGGATTCTATTCAGGGGGTTGAATAATTTTGAAACTGGAGAAGTCATTATAAATTGCATTTTCATTTGAATTAAAGAGTCCTGTATTGTTATTTGTCGTCACTACCTTCCCGCGTTGGGAGTGGGTAATTTGCACGCCTGCTGCCTTCCTTGCATGTGGTAGCCATTTGTTAGGGTCCCTGTACGGAATCAAACCCTAATCCCCCTTTACCCGTGGTCACCATGGTAGTCGCAGTCAATGGCATAGAAAGTTGATATGGATTGACATACGAATGCGTCGTCGCCTTCTCGTTGGGGAGCACATTGAAAAAGTGCTCTAGCATGATGAGCTGGGTGATCTCCTCCGGGAACTTGGCTTGATGGGAGTTGAGCCAGTTCTGAGTGGCCCTTGTGATGCCACGGTGTATACCCAGATATATCAGAGCTGCTGCAGAAAGTGTGGGCTGTCTGTCCGGGCTTTTGGTGTTCTCACCCTGCTGCTGCTCGCCTGTCTGCATTGCAGCATAACTTCGGCCTTCCTGCTCACCGCCTCATGAGACTGTGTGAGCAGCAGCAGGCAATAGTGGAGTTTCAGATGCAGCACACACAGGTCAGTCGCTCTGCGGAACAGTTTTCTTTTTTTATATGTCCCAATACTTTGGGGGCTACCCCAATTAAAATAAAAAATATATATATATGAACAGTGTTGGCTACCTCCTCCTCCTCCACCGCCAATTCCACCTACACTGTCACAGTCACCACCTCCTCAACCTCTGGGTCACTTAATATAAACTATGTACACAATAGTAGAGGCGTGTGAAAGTCTTTTCTCCATGCATCAGGAGTTGAGCATTTCTCCATGCATCAGGACTGCAAGAAATGCACCGCAGGCCGCAAATGTTTCTTTTTTTATATGTCCCAATATTTTGGGGGCTACCCCAATTAAAAAACAAAAAAAACTAATAAAAAACAGTGTTGGCTACCTTCTCCTCCTCCACCGCCGCTTCCACCTACACCGCCATGGTCACCGCCTCCTCACTTAGTATAAACTATGTACACAATAGCAGAGGCTTGTGAAGGCCTTTTCTCCATGCATCAGGAGTTGAGCTCAGTTTGAACAATGATAGAGAATACCCTGCACTCCAACCCTAATTCTGGTGATCCTCCTAACAGCCATGCTTTAGATTTTGATTTATGTTCTTCCAAAGCTAAAATCAAAGATTCCATCTAGTGCTATTTTATGGCTCAGCTGTATTTTAAATTTTTATATTATTTTAAGTGATTTCCCTATCCACATTTGTTTGCAGGGCACTCGTCCTACTCTTACCCCATTTTACTTCCTTTTGCAGCCCTCTTGCCCTTTCCAGGACTTTTTTAGAGGCATTTTTGTGGCCAAAAGTTCGTGTCCCGAATTGACTTCAATAGGGTCCGGGGTCAAGTTCGATTACGAACCCGGACTTTTTTTCAAAGTTCGGCCAAACCCGCCGAACCCGAACATCCAGGTGTCCGCTCAACTCTACTCATTACTTACGGGTCTCCCTACATCATTCCCTAATTTGGGAACTATCACCTTTTAACATATTTTTATATATTAGCTACACTTTGGAAGTCTATCACCTTTAATAGTGTTCCTGTATTCAGTAAGATTCAACCTGTTGTGGAGCACAGTACTGCACCCTATAAAACATTGTATGTGTTATTACACCTTACATTTACAGTGTATTAAAACACCAATTAAAACATGCAATTTTATATTTATGCAAATTCCAAAGCAAAAATAAATAAACCTATTTTTCTGAAGCAGGTACTAATGAAAAACAAACAAAAAAACTTTTCCATGGATAAAATCTACCCATTATTTGCAGCTATTTCTAAATTCATTAGCATGTAGATTAGCATATATAGTAGTCTAAACTAATAATTGACTTTTAAGGTTCTACAGTCTACTAAGAACACAATACATAAATATAAATATTAAACAAACTCGAATCAGCAGAATGGTCTTCTGTGTGCAGTGTAAATAACCTGTTGCAGCAAACCTTAATAGCACTGTTATACTAATCACATGAATATTCTAATTTGTTTTACAATAACCTTGTAAAAGAAACATTATATTTCATTTACAGAACATGTACAATGGTGTCTCATATGACAAACACTTTGGGAGATTTAAATCCCATCAATTCGTTGCTGACTGTCTAAATGTGCAGAGGTTACAAGCCAGGTACAATACAGTTTATACATTATTTCATAATGATCAGTTAATTATACTCTGTGAAACCTGCTTTCACCCGTGTTCTTTCAAGGGTCAGCATTTTTAAATGTATTATAAAATACAAGTAATTCTTAATTAGTAGAATGAAACTGCCCAACACAGAGGTTCTTTAAAACTGTCACCTTATTCTAAGTTGTGCTAATTTAATGCTGTACAATAAGGCAATTATTATGGCTTGTACATTGGATGGAGATCTTCTTTGTAATCATTGTAAATATGTCTGTTCTGTAAACTGATTTCTGATAGCAAGTATCTGCTAATACTAATAGATTTGTTTATTTAAAGGGACACAATAGTAACAAAAACAACTTTAGCTTAATGAAGCACTTTTGGTGTATAGATCATGTCACTGCAGTCTCACTGCTCAATTCTCTGCCATTTATTTATTTATTATTAATTTTCATATTTAACATAGATATGACAATTACAATATAAAAGTGTCTTGCTAATTAAAGGAGCATTATATGGTCAGGAACACAAACCTGTTTTACTGAACCTATACGTAGGGTTAAAATAACCATCTAGCCACCCTGATTCCCTCATGCCTCTCTAAATATAGTAAATCTTACTTGTATTCAAACCTGAATTTGTCATTGTTTCCTTTTGACCTGCTCACTGCCTGCTGACTTCATCAGAAGTGGTAACCTGATCCAATCACAATTCTTCCCCATAGGATTGGCTGAGACTGACAAAGAGGCAGATCAGGGGCAGAGCCAGCATGATTCAAACACAGCCCTGGCCAATCAGCATCTCCTCATAGAGATGAATTGAATCAATGAATCTCTATGAGGAAAGTTCAGTGTCTGAATGCAGAGGGAGGAGACACTGAATGTTTGGATGCATTTTAGGCAGCCATGACCCAGGAAGGATCTCTAACAGCTATCTGATGAGTGGCCAGTGAAGTTATCACTAGGCTGTAATGTAAACACTGCATTTTCTCTGAAAAGACAGTGTTTACAGCAAAAAGCCAGAAGGTAATGATTCTACTCACCCGAACAAATTCAATATGCTGTAGTTGTTCTGGTGACTAGTGTCCCTTTAAGTAGAAAGACAAGCCTAAATCCTAGCTCGAACAGCACAGGGGAATGAGAAATCTTTAGTAAATGCCGAAAGAGATATAACTTAGTTAATGCCGAAAGAGATATAACAGTATTTATGTTTTTAAGGGTTTCAGAACACCCTTGTTAGGTCATCAAGTACTGTTATTCAATTGTCCCATATATTGTATTTCTTATGATTAGTACAAAACTTAAAGGTGATTACACATTCCATTCTGCATTTAAATTTCACCCTTTCTTTAATTTGTGGCCACATGTCTACTTAATCAGTTTTATTTTCATTTTTGGCAAGCATTGGTAGATTTAAGTGAAGAAGGACCATTTCCACCATCCATATCTGTTTTAAATTAAGCAGATTATTAATTACAGAAAATATTACGGCCCAGCCTCTTTTAATTGTTGGACATTCCCACAATACATGGATTTCATCTGCCCTCTCAGAATCGCATCTCCAGTGCATATATTTATCCTGAGGGTACTTCATTGTTTGTTTCCAAGGTGTTATATACCATCTATTTGTTATTTTATATTGGGTCTCCATTATGTTAAGACAGTGTACTGATGGGTATAATGTTTGAACAGCAATAAACATAGAAACATAGAAACATAGAATGTGACGGCAGATAAGAACCATTCGGCCCATCTAGTCTGCCCAATTTTCTAAATACTTTCTTTAGTCCCTAGCCTTATCTTATAGTTAGGATAGCCTTATGCCTAACCCACGCATGCTTAAACTCCTTTACTGTGTTAACCTCTACCACTTCAGCTGGAAGGCTATTCCATGCATCCACTACCCTCTCAGTAAAGTAATACTTCTTGATATTATTTTTAAACCTTTGTCCCTCTAATTTAAGACTAGGTCCTCTTGTTGTGGTTTTCTTCTTTTAAATATAGTCTCCTCCTTTACTGTGTTGATTCCCTTCATATATTTAAATGTTTCTATCATATCCCCCCTGTCTCGTCTTTCCTCCAAGCTATACATGTTAAGATCCTTTTAACCTTTCCTGGTAAGTTTTATCCCGCAATCCATGAACCAGTTTAGTAGCCCTTCTCTGAACCTCTCTAAGGTATCAATATCCTTCTGAAGATACGGTCTCCAGTACTGTGTACAATACTCCAAGTGAGGTCTCACCAGTGTTCTGTACAATGGCATGAGCACTTCCCTCTTTCTACTGCTAATACCTCTCCCTATACAACCAAGCATTCTGCTAGCATTTCCTGCTGCTCTATTACATTGTCTGCCTACCTTTAAGTCATCAGAAATAATCACCCCTAAATCCCTTTCCTCATATGTTGAGGTTAGGACTCTATCAAATATTCTGTACTCTGCCCTTGGGTTTTTACGTCCAAGATGCATTATCTTGCACTTATCCACATTAAATGTCAGTTGCCACAATTCTGACCATTTTTCTAGTTTACCTAAATCATTTGTCATTCAGCTTATCCCTCCTGGAACATCAACCCTGTTACATATCTTAATATCATCAGCAAAAAGACATACCTTACCATCAAGACCTTCTGCAATATCACTAATAAAAATATTAAAGCGAATGGGTCCAAGTACAGATCCCTGAGGTACCCCACTGGTAACAAGTCCAAGCTTCGAATATATTCCATTAACTACAACCCTCTGCTGCCTCTCACTCAGCCTCTGCCTTACCCATTCAACAATATTGGAATCCAAACTTAAAGATTGCAGTTTATTGATAAGCCTTCTATGTGTAACAGTGTCAAAAGCCTTACTGAAATCTAGGTAAGCAATGTCTACTGCACCACCCTGATCTATAATTTTAGTTACCCAATCAAAAAATCAATAAGATTAGTTTGGCATGATCTCCCTGAAGTAAATCCATGTTGTCTCTGATCTTGAAATCCATGTGTTTTTAGATGTTCAACAATCCTATCCTTTAACATGGTTTCCATCACTTTCCCCACTACTGAAGTAAG